CACCACTCACCCACCATCCCTAAGTGTTTCAGCTCTCTGAAACACTGTAAGTCCCTTAATCACCTTCCAAATATGGTGGGTGATTAAGCCGCCATATTTTAATCTTTCAGTGGGAGCTACGGTGGCCCAGAGGTGTCAACACAAACACAAAAGCCACAACACAAATGCAAAAGCCTTCAACACCCGCTAAAAAAAAGGGTATTCATATTCAGCGCAGGCGGGTTCGAGAAGCTCTACATACAATTGATCCAATTGGACGAAGTGTACGTCATCGACAGGCCATTCGCCGCAGGACCTACAATGTTCGTGGTCAAAATGAGTTATGGTGAGAGTTATTGTTTTTAATATGCCAGCATTAAGCCTATTAATGTGCCCATTTTACAGTGTATTTTCCCCTTGAGTTGAACTGATTACTTTTCTTCTCTTTATTTGCAGGCACATTCAAATCACAAATTAATTCATTGGAGAATGGTGTTCCACGGATGTGTGGACGGATATAGCCGCACTATTATATACCTAGACTGTTTAACAAATAATAGGGGTTCTAGTGTGTTGACGCTATTTGAAAAGGGAGTGCGGAACTTTGGGCTTCCATTAAGAGTCCGGTGTGACCGTGGAACTGAAAACTTCGAGGTCGCACGTTTCATGCTGAGCAGAAGAGGGTTAGATCGGAGAAGTGTGATCGCAGGCCGCAGCGTACATAACCAAAGAATAGAACGACTTTGGGCTGAGCTAAATCGCGTTGTCTCTTATTTTTATGTAGAACTTTTCAATTTTATGGAGAACCAAAACTACCTGGATTCATTGTCGGAGCTGCATATATTTGCATTACACTACATATATATACCACAAATACAATGGGCGGTGTGGGAGTTCAGGAATCAATGGAATAATCACGCTTTGTCTACCGAAAGGTACAGGACACCACTCCAGCTATGGTTCACAGGTATCATCAGACACGCAGGCCAGGATATCACAGGGGTTAACGATGTCTTTGCACCTGTCCAACCCCAAGGCCCTGCCTGCCGCGAAACACCCCCTGAACTTCAATTCAACAGCGTCGTAGAAGTTCCGGATAGCGATTTGAATGGTAATGACACTACCATGGAAGAGATCCGTCAAACATTTGATCCTTTGGGGATGACGGAAATTATGGAATAAATGTGTTTGTGACCCTTGTACATTTCTTGAAAAGTAGGCAATAAAAACATAAGTTTGAATGCAATTGATTTTATTGTCCAAAAAAATCTAACCCTGTCGTAACAGTAAAAGTAAGGTGTTCAGTATAGGCTACAAACAAAAAAGGTCTCCAATGACGAGCTTTCTTCTTTTCTTTCTTTTTAAATCTTGTCAGTATAAAACACCATAAATCCATGCATGACAAACCATGAACCTGGCTGAAATATTTGTAAGTGCATAAATGAACCTGGCAAACAATACTGCCATTACTTGTAAGTGCATAAATGACCCTGGCCATCACTTGTAAGTGTATAAAATCATGACGTTAAACTCAGACACAGCCAGATCAGACCAGCCATGCCAAAACCCTGAGTGTTGCGGATGGCGAAGTCCATCACTTCCTTGAAGGCCTCATAGTGTGTACACAGTGGCAGGCGCAGGTAATTTATGCAGGTATTTGCAACAGGATATTTGCCTCCACAGTGAAGAAACTCCAACAAGGGCTGAGGGGAGAAACCCATTGGTGGCACCACATTGGACCCTGTTGTTAATGTTAAGACACTCTGTGTTACGTCCCGGCTCTGGAGCTGGCTCCACCCCCACCTGCACACCGGCTCAGCTATTCACCCGCAATCAGCGCTGATCACTCTCACCTGTTTCCACCTCCATATAATCACCACGCTTACCTGAACTCGTTGCCAGAACGTATCGAACCTAAAGTGAGTACTTCCAGCATTATATTGTCCTGTCTGCCTGATCTTCGACCTGCCTTCCGTCTGCCTGTTTTCCAAGCCTGCCTGACCCCCGCCTGATCCGTCCGTTCGACTCCTGAGCCTGCCTGTCCCTCGCCTGTAGCTTTGCCTGATCCTGACTGCCTGCCCGTGTATGACCCCGCCTGCTTGCGACCTCGAGACCCCGCCTGCTCCCTTGGACTGCTTCCCTGGTACTGACCCCTGGACCGGCCCCGACCGCCTCCTTGGATTATCCCTGTGTCCTTCGCTGGACTATTGGATCACCCGGTACCGAACTTGGACTGCCCTGACCACGCCTCTGCCGAGCCCCTGTCTACAAATAAATCTGTTTGAACTGACCGTACGCCTCTGGTTGCTTCTGGGTCCTAATCGCGTTCATTACACTCTGCAGTGTTGTGGTCTCGTTTTCCTCTGTTAAACAACAAAAACATGACAAAATTAAAGACTAAAAACTATTGTTTAAGCTAATTACAAGCTCATTACATTAACCAGCATTAATTGCAAATATTAATTCACATTATGGTTAGATTACAGAGACACAGTATGAAAATTGAAACATCCAGTCCTGTGTCACACAATCGCATACAGTGCTTTCAAAACCATTGACAACTAAATATCACTCACCTTCCGCATCCTGGAGAAAATCCCTCCAGAACGCCACAACCCTGTTCTCATCAGATCTCTTGTTGCTTCATTTTGCTGACCAGTTAATTTGAAACAGTTCTTCCAGAGAGTCAGCTGTGAGATGAATGGGATTGTAACAGAGCAGGGAACGGAAAGCTTCTGGATGTAGCTGGATCTTCTGGAGGACTCCAAGGGTCTTCACCCCGTCTCTGAATCTAAGCACAAGATTTTGCATTACAAAACAACAGCATTTAAGTACTAAAGAAGTCCCTATGCCCTATTCATGTAGTTCTTTCTTTCAGACTCAACAAATAGTCCGTGGGCCAGAATCTGTACGATGACTTTCCGTTTGAACTTTTTGGGGGCAACTTTCTTCCAGTTTAGTTAGATACCTTGGACTTCAGTGATTTCAAAAAGCCAATGTTCCCGCGTTTTCACTTGCACATTAATTAATTACGGCCAATTAAAATTTCGGTAGTTCCACATCTGGCCTATAGGTGGCTAAAACTAAGAAAATCTCCATATTTTCGGTTTTAACCAAGTGATCTTTACCAAAAATACTTTAAAATCATTAAGGTTGATCATTAGAAAAGTTTTTTTTATGCAAATACTGATGGAATCAACATGGAAATGCAATTTAGACCTTTAGTTTCTATTTTCGCTGCCAGAGGGCCCCTGAACCTTGAATACTACATATTTTCCACTTTATACAGCCATAGCAAGACAAAAAACAATAATTTTGATATGCAAAACCCTTGTTTTTGGTCCAAATAATTTCTTACTAATTTAATTATTGAAAAACTGACACATCACTTTCCATCATATTGCATTTATTAACTTAATGAGAGAAAAACAACTACTATCACAAGTAAACCTTGGTATAAAAAATGGAATAATATATCATTTTCACTGTCAATAAAAACTAAGGATCCATATTTATGTCCAATATAAAAATCTGAACCTCTCATATTTACAGTTATATTATTTCTATCTTAACCTTTCCTCGCGACATCATACTATTTAAATCCAAACATATCATATTTACATCATATTATTTAAATCCAGACCTCTCATATTTATATATTTTATATTTTCATCAAAAACTTACAACATATATGAAAAACATCATAACT